TTTATTTCTTTTTTCTTTGTTTTTTATCATGGTTTTGGTGTCATTGGTGCGGAGAATGTACTATTTCGTTCTGGAGTGTTCGAAGGTGATGTAAGGCGTGCTTGAACGAGAGAGGGAGAAGGGGAGAGGGGGAGAGAGGGAGAGGAAGAGGGAGAGGGAGAGGGAGAGGAAGAGGAAGAGGAAGATAGAGAGAGGGAGAGGAGGATAGAGAGAGGGAGAAAGACAGAAAGAGAAAAGAGAGAGAGATAGAGATAGAGAAGGAGAAAGAGAGATAGGGAGAGAAAGAGAGAGAGAGATAGGGAGAGAAAGAGAGAGAGAGATAGGGAGAGAAAGAGAGAGAGAGATAGAGAGAGGGAGAGAGAGAGAGAGATTGAAAGAGAGAGAGAGATTGAAAGAGAGAGAGAGATTGAAAGAGAGAGAGAGATTGAAAGAGAGAGAGATTGAAAGAGAGAGAGAGATTGAAAGAGAGAGATAGATAGATAGAGAGAGAGAGAGAGAGAGAGAGAGAGAGAGAGAGAGAGAGAGAGAGAGAGAGAGAGAGAGAGAGAGAGAGGACGAGCGTTTGTGCGTGTTTGTTTTTTGTGTGATTGCTAGTTTGTGCATGCATCATCTGTTTATGTATCCTTGCGTGTCGGGACCTGTGCATGTGAGTATATGTCTGTAATTTTTGTGTATCTGTGAATATATGTAATCCTATTTTTCCATTTGCTTTCAAGGGAATTTCCACCCAACTGGCATGCTTAGATTCCACAGTCACTAACTTCTTGAGGTCCTCGGCACGACAACCACATAAATGTCTAGCAGTCAAAATTTGTCGACGAACATTCATAGATATATTTAATATTAAATCCACTTTGTTGTCGATTTTACACATACACATAGACCTTACTTGGGACTCATTATGTGTACAGTATCTCTCATTAGGTATGTAAACTCTAGGGGGAGGGGAGATACAGACGTTGTGGTTAAACTGGCTTTGTTGATAGTGTCACTGTGCGAGCGAGGCGTGACGTCAGGTTTCACTATCACTAAAAGACGTGGGTGATTTGGCTTTGCATAACTGGTAAACACTACGTCAGTAATCTTGGATATTCGGTGAGCGATTTGTTCATATTTTGGATGGTTGGTAGAAGATATTGAAATATTCGTGATAAATAGTGTACGATATTTTTGCTATGTTCTGGATAACTGATATATAGTTTGAGTGATTTGGTTGTTATAGATTAACATAGGAATTTAGTTAAAGGATAGTTTTGGACTTTTATAGGATTTCGACTTACAGAAGGGATTGGGATGTTATGCTGTTTCGGAAAGATGTTATATGTGGGGGGCAGAATAATATGACTTTAAAAGTCAAAATATAAGTGATTGTCTTTGATACTTCTCTTGTTATTTAACATTTATTAATGTAATGAGGGGAATATGTTTTAAACCATGTATTAAACAGATTCATTTTCATGTAAATATTTGAATATGAATTATTTTATTCCTTTGAGTAGGTCCAGTTTATACCGTTTTCTCTGTTGCCAAAACAACCTAGTTTTAGGTAGGACTGTTGATATATACATATATGTGATACATACACACACACACACACACACACACACACACACACACACACACACACACACACACACACACACACACACACACACACACACACACACACACATGAATATATATACATACATATGAATATCTATATATATACATATATATGCATACATATGAATATCTACATATATACATATATATACATATATATACATATATATATATATATATATATATATATATATATATATATATATATATATATATATATATATATTTGAATTCACGTTGTTGATTTTCTGGATAAACCAAAAAAAGAAAAAGAAAAAGTGCGAATTTGAATGCATTTATCCATACAGATGCGTCACAGCATTATTCAATTTTCACAGATCCCTCAGAGCATCTGACTTAGTATTTGAATTTCTAAATCAGTTTCCCCCCGAGTGCCCACGGGGCGTGTGTGTAAAACCTCGCTATCACCACCCTAGTATGAGTAGACAGGTAATGTGTATGGGGCGAGTGGTGGGCGGTGTGGTGTGGTTGGTTTAATACTGGTCACTCTGAGGTCGTACTTGGAGTGGTAGAGATTCGAGTTCTGGTCAGAGAGGGGGGGAGTGGGAGAGAAATGGGAAGAGAAAGAAGAGAGAGACCGAGATAGACATTGAGTGGAAGATGGAATGGGAGTGGGAGAGAAATAGTAAGAGGAAGGAAAATAGAGAGACGGAGATATACGAAGAGATGGAGAAATAGATATGTAGATGAACAGGCAGACAGAGAGAGAGAGAGAGAGAGAGAAAGAAAGAAAGAAAGAAGGAAAGAAAGAGAGAGAGAGAGAGAGAGAGAGAGAGAGAGAGAGAGAGAGAGAGATAGATAGAGAGAGAGAGAGAGAGAGAGAGACAGACAGAGAGAGAGACAGAGAGAGACAGAGAGCGAGACATAGACAGAGTGACAGACAGACAAGGAAAGAGGAACGAAAGAAAGATTAACGGACCACCTGACGGACAGAACTGACAACCAGAAGGCAGAAAGAGATAGACCGAGATCCCAGCAGATAATTCGTCAGTCATCGCCATCAGCTCGCGCCCCGTTATCAGGGCCTCGTACAGATGGATAAACAGACATCCGGGACCTGTTACCTCAGTCTGGTCGAGGAGATGAAAAGAGAATTATTCTTGTGCATTATCGCGCTCGTGTTTGTCTAAGGGGGGGGGGGGAGTGTTCGATCTCTTATTGTGATGGTTTGTGAAGCTCGTTTTGCATGGTGGTCGGGAGGCTGATCGTGTTTCGGGTAATTTCCTGTGATTACTGTTTGTTTAAAAGGATGAGACAACGTATAGATGTACAGGTTGATTTTTGTGCACGTGTGTAAGTGTGTATGTATGAAATGTAGGTTTGTTTGTATGTATGTGTGTGTGTATGCATGTGTGTGTCTATCTATGTGAATGTATGCGCACACGCACGCACACCAGTACGCACACACACACAAGCACGCACACACACAAGCAAGCACACACACACACACACACACACACACACACACACACACACACACACACACACACACACACACACACACACACACACACACACACACGTGTTTTTTTTAGTTTGTGTATTTGTTGTTTTTTGTTTGTGTATTTGTGTGTGCGTGCAGTTGTGCATTTTTGTTTTGCGTGTGTATGTCAATGTGTATGTGTGTGTGTGAATGGTGTCAATACGATATCAAACACCTTGACAGAGGACAGCGTGCGAAGGCCAAACAACATAACTCGACGCCCTAGATGTTGTAACTCCTCTGTTACGTAATGTATGCATGTTGCAGGGCAGTGTCATGGCACTCGGAAGTCAGCCTGTAACATCTGGTTGTTTGGTTGTTGTTTTTGTCCTTTGGAAATTTCTGTGGTTTGGATTTAAAGAAAATATGGTATTGAAGTTGTTCCATTAAGCATTATCATTGATTGTGTTCATAATGGATATCATGTTAGTTTTAATCACCATACTGATAATGGTAATGGTGGTATAGTGGTGGCGATGATTTTCCAATTGTTATCTGTTCTTGTAGTTGTTGCTTTACCTGTTTGTGATTTTTAGTGTTAGTGCTGTAACGATAAGAGGCAAGGCACAGCAACGCAGGCACCCGGGTCATTGTGGCTCGCATCCTGGCTGCCCGTGCGAGGCGTCACGCACGTCGGGTGCCTGAGCGTCGCCCATAAAAGGAGGCGGCATCTCACGTCACCTTCAGTTTGTAAGAGGAGGCGCTGTCGTCCTGTTCCTCTGTCTCCTCTCTCTCACGCACAAGCACAAGTGCAAGCACAAGTAATCGCAATGTTGGGCAAGTACTCACGCAGGCAATGGCTCACTCTGATCGTGTTCGCTATCGCCGACTTCTGCAGCGCGGTGTGCGTGTCCCTGCAGGCGCCCTTCTACCCCATGATGGCCGAGTCTAAGGGCGCCTCGCCCACCCAGTACGGCTTCGTGTTCGGCATCTTCGAGCTGACGGTGTTCATCGTGTGCCCCATCTACGGCACGTACCTGAACAAGATCGGGCCCAAGTTCATGTTCAACGCCGGCATCTTCACCACGGCCACCACCTGCATCATGTTCGGGTTCCTGGACCGCGTGAACGACACCACGGCCTTCATCGGCCTCTCGTTCGTGATCAGGATCGTGGAGGCCATGGGCAACTCGGGCTTCCTGACGGCGTCCTTCAGCATCATCGCCAAGGAGTTCCCCGAGAACGTGGGCGCCACCTTCGCGTCCCTCGAAACTTGTTTCGGGCTCGGACTGATCGTAGGACCCACGATGGGCGGCGCCCTCTTCGAACTGGGGGGCTACACGCTGCCCTTCGTGACCCTGGGCGGCATGCTGCTGGGCGCCGCTTCTCTCACCTTCTGCATTCTGCCTGCCCACTACTCGGAGACCAAGGGCGAGAACGAGGCCCAAGGCAGTTTGCTCAGCCTCGTCAGAATACCCTCCATCGCCCTCGTCTCCTACGCCATCGTGGCCACCTCCGCCAGTATCGGCTTCGTCCAGGCCACGTTGGAGCCCCACCTGCGGCCGCTGGACCTCACGCCTTTCCAGCTGGGCCTCATGTTCGTGCTCAACGGCGCCACCTACAGCATATTCGCGCCCCTGTGGGGTTGGCTGTGCGACAAGTACGTCAGTCCCAAGGCGGTGGTGATCTTGGGAGGTCTTGTGACGATGGTCGCCTTCGTGGTCCTGGGCCCGGCGCCCTTCCTGCCCATCCCGACCACGCTGCCGCTCTGCATCTTCGCCCTGGTGCTCCACGGCACCGGCTTCGGCGCCGAGCTCGTGGCCACCTTCACCAGCGCCCACAAGGACGCCGTGGCCAACGGCTTCCCCGACGACATCAGCACTTACGGCCTCGTCGCGGGGCTGTGGACGTCGACTTTCGCGCTGGGGGCCTTCATCGGCCCCTCAGTCGCGGGCGTCCTCTTCGACTGGTGCGGCTTCGCGTGGGCCACCGTGTTCGTGGTCGTGCTCCACCTGGTCGTGGCTCTGTCGTTCACCGTCCACATGGCCGTCAGCCGGCCATCAGCGCCGTCCATCTTCGCCAAGACGCACGAGAGCCTGGCGCAGCACGACGCGGAGAAGACCCTCCTCATCGTCGGCCGCCCCGGCGACGAGAGCGGATTCAGCAGTTCTGGCAGCTCGTCCTTCGAGGTGTCCGTGTCCTCAGAAATCCGTCCGTGAGGCGTGGCTGAAGGAAGCTTGGTTGTTAACTTAGGAGTACAGGAGTTACTTGAAGGCCTAAGGTGCGGGTTAGCGCCGTGTTCTTTGCTCATGAGAAATTGGGATACGCGCTTAAGCTGTTTTATTTGTTAGTATTCTGTTTACCTGATGTTATTATATCATTGTTGTTATTCCTAGCAGCAGGCCAATCTTCTGTAAAGATCTGGTAGATTGTAATTATCTGAGTACTGACATTTCTAGTCAAGGTTGAGGCACTGCCTTCAGTAGGCCAGTCCCTTAAGGTCGGAGGTAGGATTAAAATGATTGAAGTATGAACTTCCTTGAATGAATGAGGCAGTGTTTGGAATTTTTATTCTAGCTGGTCACGATCTGTATGCATTTTCCAGGTAAAAGTTAAACGATACAATGTCTCTCTCTCTCGAAGAAGAAGACGAAGATGTTCATAGTTACAGTTATCACTGTCAGATTACAGGTTGTCAACTTGTTAGCTCATGGATACTGTTAATTATATGTGATTTTGTACGTATTATTTATAAATAAAAATGGATTTGTAGATTTGAATATTTTATATCCCAGTATTAAATCAAAAGAAAAAAAGATTTGATAAACGTTTTTATTACCATTATTATTATTGTTATTATTATTATTATTATTATTATTATTATTATTATTATCATTATCATTATTATTATTGTTATTTTATCAGTATTAGTATTACTATTACTATTACTATTGCATCATTATGGTAACTATTTGTAATATTATTTCTCAGCATTATCGACTTATTCTTTTTGTAAGAACGTTTTTTTATCCTTGAGAGACTATGAAGACCATGAAATTACAGATATACTTTGATTATTACAAATATGTATATTCCTTATATGATTAGTTTACGCTTATCATGTCACGTTAATCTAAACTTTCATTTTATTTTATTTTTTATTTCATTTCGAACAAGTAATCGGTCAATGCGAATTACAGCAACACTTTTTTCTTGTCACTTCTAATACTTTCTTATATTTGCATTTTCTTCGTGGTTTACTTATAAATACACAAGTACACTTAGAAGGAAAGAGGATCATGAAGTGTTAATGACCTCAGGGCGACCAGACGTCCTCAGGATTATCACAAAGGTCGGTGACTGATAAGGATTTCATGACCTTCCTCGGCTGCGATAAGGTCACGTGATGCTAATTGCTGGGCGAGCGGCCGTTAATTGTGCGGTTCCGTTCATTTAGACCTTTTGTGGATTTTGCTGGCGCTGGGTTGGCGATTATTATTATCATTATTGTTATTATTATTGTTATTGTTATTATTATTGTTATTGTTATTATTATTGTTATTATTGTTATTAATTATTTTGTATTATTGTTATTAATTATTTAGTATTATTTTTATTTTTTATTTATTTATTTATATATTTTTTTATTTATTATTTTTTTTTTTTATTATCATTTCTTTTTTGGCGTTGGAAGGTAATAGGATGTTATGACGTTTACACATAGCTGGAGGGATGCCTTACTCACACACATAAGAACAGGCTGACATGTACGAATATGCTGTCAAGCACATATACACTCCCGCACACATTCTCACTTTCTCATCTCTCTCTCTCTCTCTCTCTCTCTCTCTCTCTCTCTCTCTCTCTCTCTCTCTCTCTCTCTCTCTCTCTCTCTCTCTCTCTCTTTCTCTCTCTATCTATCTATCTGTATCTCTCTCATACTGTCATTCTCATTCTTACTCTCGCGCAGAGACAGGCAGGCAGGCAGACAGGCAGGCAGGCAGGCAGGCAGGCAGGCAGGCAGGCAGGCAGGTAGGCAGGCAGGCAAAGGGGGAAGAGTAAGAAAAAGAAGGTGATTAGCGAGGGAGAGAGATTAGCGAATTAGTAATTAGAAGAAAAAGAAAAAAAGTGGTCGAAAATAGGTGAGAAAGAGGGGAAACGGATATTGGAGAAAGAGCTAAAAAGAGGAACGGAGACGTAGAGATAGGGCGGGGAAGTGGAGGAACGAGACAGCAGGGGAGGAAAGGAGAGAGAGACAGAGACAGAGAGAAACAGAGAAGAGATGGAGAAAAAGAAAGAAAAAGAGAGAGAGCAAGAGACAGAGTGAGCAAGAGCGGGGTCAGAACGTGTACCCAGAGAAGATACATAAATTCAAGGTACAAGAACCGCCTTTAAAATTAGTTTTTGTTCCAAGTTGCTTAATATTATTTTATTAATATTCCTCATCGCTC